CATGTCCATATTATAACATTGCCTGCCTCGTGTTTTACAGATGATGTGTTATATTTCAGATTATTTTCTTTTCTTTTCCACACTTCCTATGGCTGTGGCTCAGGAGGTAGAGCAGAGGTTAAAGGCTTGTGGTTTGATCCCTGACTGCTTCATTCTGCATGCCAAAGTATCCTTGGGCAAGGTACTGAACACTGAGTTGATCCCGATGTGTTCATGAGTGAGTGGGAATGCCAGATAGAAAGCTCTTGTATAAATGGTAAATGGCCTGTATTTGTATAGCGCTTTACTAGTCCCTAAGGACCCCAAAGCGCTTTACACATCCAGTCATCCACCCATTCACACACACATTCACACACTGGTGATGACAAGCTACATTGTAGCCACAGCCACCCTGGGGCGCACTGACAGAGGCGAGGCTGCCGGACACTGGCGCCACCAGGCCCTCTGACCACCACCAGTAGGCAACGGGTGAAGTGTCTTGCCCAAGGACACAACGACCGAAATTGTCCAAGCCGGGGCTCAAACCGGCAACCTTCCAATTACAAGGCGAACTCCCAACTCTTGAGCCACAATCGCCCCATGTGTGAATGACATGTTCTTGTGTGCTCGAGTAGAAAGCACTATATAGGAACCATTCCATCCACCTATTATATACATATATATGGTCTAATCTGGGTTTCTTGTTCTCGAGTGTAATCAGTGGTGTATTTGCATTTATTAAACAGTCTTTTCCACTTGCATGGACATCTCTTTGAACCTCACAATGAGAGTTACAGTGAATGCATACCACATAAGAGTTCAATATTTTGAATCAACAGCTTTTATCGTCTTAGTTTGACATGGAATAACTGGAAAAAATGCTTCATCTGGCAATTAAACTGCAGATCAGTTAGTTGTCTAAATGGTTTTGAACTTCTGAAAATGGACTCTGTATAAAAATGTCTGTAATTCTAACAGTTATAAAAAATACTGTTATAAAAGCTGCTGACAGAAAAGCTGAAGTCTGCGCTTCAGTCACATCTTGATTGTTCGATTTGAAATCCCTTGTGGTGATGTACAGAGGCAAAGCTATAAAAATGACTTTATTGTCCAAATACATATTGATGTGATTGTAAAAAGATCTTGTGTAACCTTTAATGACTCCACATCTTTGCTCCAGCTTTATCTTTCTTAAAATATTTTTTTTATAAAAAACATAAAGTTTAGATAAACAGAATCTATTTTTAAAATCTGAAAGTGACCTTTAAGGTTTAAGTGACCACTTAATAAAAGTCAGATGGTTTAAAAACTGTATATTTGTCAAAGTGTCTGTCTGACAGTTAATTAACATGTTGCTCAGCTCCGTTCATGAGCTACTTGTTGCCTAAAAAGCCTTTTGACAAACAAAAAGCTGAATATATTACTGAAACACACACACACACACTCCTCCAGTCGCCCACATGCTCATCTTTAATTGTCTGTTTAGCGTTGGTGCTTATAGTGAAGAAACCATTAACAGTCAATTAGCCAGCTGGCCAATCAGAGGGAAAACTGTTACCCTGAGGGCTTGTTTACAACCACAAGAGCAGCTCATTTGGAGAACATGGACACAGTTATTATAATCCTACCCTTCACCTCACAAGCATGGACAGACTCTAAAACAACAGGATTCCACTTAGAAACTCTCTGTTTAACACATTTTTAAAGTATAAAAAAATCTGTCAAACTCAGTCTTTTCAATATCACCAATGGCTTTTAAAGCAAACTTTTCCTTTCTCCCCCTCATCAGGTCACTCAGCTGTGAATCGGCTGCAGAATCAAATGTGGAGCGGGTGCAGTGTTGAAAGCCCTGTCTATGGACCCACCAACCTCTGCATTTTGAAAACCCACAGCACCTGGTAAGAATGTTGCTGCTGCCTAAGATGCACGCAGGGATGAAAAATGAACCTGTTGCAGACATTTGGGGGAGAAGAAATCCTGCTTTACAAACATAGTGTCTTCAGTGACAAATTCTGTCACCCTAACCCTAACACCCATTCCCAACAAACTCCCATGTTAAAAGACTCAATTTAATAGATGTAATAAATATCTTTATGATTTTTTAAATTCTATATATTCTCATAAAGACATAGAGTGAATTTAGTGTAGAAGACGTGGTGTGGAAGATTAACCTGCACAGAGTCCTGACGTCAACCTGAAAGAAAATCTCTGGGATAAATTAGAGTGGAGGCTTCTCGTCCAACATCTGGAAGGATAGTAAAAAATTCCCATAAACACACTCCTAAACCCTCCTAAACCATATGGAAAGGGTGGAAAGGCTGCAAAGGGTGGGGTGACATCGTACTAAATCCTATGGATTAAGAATGGGAACTCACTCAAGTTCATATGTGTGTGAAAGCAGATGAGTACCCAATACTTTTGGCACTATAGTATATGTGCTAGCCATGGTGTTGGCAGCCTTATGATAATGATTTATTTGACAAATAATAAGGCTTTCTGTAGAATTATAACCGGTTCAAGAAGTCTATGCTCTACTTTTGTTGCATCGATTTTTGTTATGAACATATAACTTTGCACTAAGTTAGCAGTTATCTTTGGATAATGCACCCACCATCCGCCATAGTCAGAGTGGGCTAGCTGTTGTTTTGTTTTTGTTTGTTTTTCTGACACACCTGAACGACTGAAGGTCGCAGTACAGAAGAGGAGCAAACGTTAAGGGAATAGCATTTTGTAGCAGGTAATTTTAAATTCAGCGTTTCTAAATTCAACAAACATCAGCAAAAACACAAACAAATTTGTGTGCAGTTGTCATACAGTGTGTTGCTAGGTAAAAGTCCAGCTGATGCATTTCACAGGGAGAGAAAAGAAAGTGAGCTAATTTCAGTCAGCGATGGAGAAAGATAAGAAAGACAGGACAGGAGAGGAAGGAGAAAGACTTGATAAAGTGGAAATTTAAAGCTTACATGTAAGTCCTCATGTTTTTAAATCAGATATTGGGTCTGTATGTGTCACATTAAGTGAAACATGCTGTAAATCAAACTGAGGTAGACTGACTGTGTTATATGAAGGTAGTAATACTCTGCAGGTTAGTGCAGGATAAACAGGTTAGTTTGCTGTACTGTGATGGATTTAAAGTAAAACTTATAACTTACATCTCCTTGAATTCAGTTGTGTAAATCTACAAAGAGCAGTAAACCTCAGACCAGCAGCAGCAGCAGGTCAGCTGATCTCAGTCTGTGCATTAAGAAAATCTACTGGAGTGCTGAATAGAAATGATCGTGAGCTGTGATTCTTTTCACCATAATGAGCCGTTACAACTGATTTTAGGGTTCCCCCACCCCCAACGTCATTTTGCTGTTTAGACACAAAGTCACTCTCTGCAGCGTAGGCAACAGAAAATAGTTACTTTTATTTTTCGTCTTTTTCTTTGCTCATGTTCTATTTAACAAGTTCAAGCTCAGTAGTTTAAATTAAAATTTGTATTCCTATCTACTAATATTATTTTATTATTGCATTAATATAACACAAGTTTCGGTTAGCTTTACACAAAAATAGCTGGTAGAAACGTCCTTCAAGGAGCTACTTTTACTTTCTTTATTTTTAACATAGGTATCTGTACTTCTACTTAAGTACAGAATTTCTGTATTTTTGCCACCCCTGCTGCACACTATTACACAATCCACCAAGCAGTTTTGGTGCCTGTGGTGGAGACTAGTGCTCAATTGAGGTGATCAATGTTTGCTTTCTAAGTAGCTCTTTAACTCGCTTGGCATGTGAAGACCAAGAAGCAGCCATAAGGGTTGGTGAAATTTCCAACTTGATTTAACATACATTGTGCAGCCATGGGGTTGCTGCAGCTCAGGAGGTAGAGCGGGTCTCCTACTGATCAGAAGGTTGGGGGTTCGATCCCCTGGCTCCTCCTTGTGCAAGATACATCAGTGAATGTGTGTGAATGTCGTCAGAAAAGCACTCAGTTTAGAGTCAGTGCTTGTGAGAATGGGTGTGATTGGGTGAATGTGGCACGTTGTATAGTAGAGTAGAAAAGCAGTCCATTTACCATTGTGGCTAGACCTCTGCTTGATTATATGGTTAGGTATGTCACATTATATGAGGGTATTTTGCCGACTATTTGACCATGACCAGAAACTTTGATCTATCGTGATCACATAATTCCCACCAAATTACCACTGGAACACTTTTTTAGGAAAATTGATGTGGATAACAAATTAAACGTGAATTCATAATATTTGATCTAATTGTATAATGCTGTATAATACTATACAGTTATTGCAAACTCCCATGTCACATCTGGCCACTGGATTTTGGCCTCCTCCTCCAGGAAACTGTTTGGGAACCTCTGTTAGAGATATTATATATACTGGACCCTTAAACTTAAGGGCCACTCAGAAACATGTCCTTACATTTGTGTGGCTAAAGACAGAGGAAATATTGCTGTTTTTAAAGCTTTAAAATCTTACCTCCATGAGGAAATTATGGCTGTGATATTCATCTCAGCCTCTAGAGGGAGCCATTAGCACTTTACACCGACTGTGAGATCGTACCACTTGACTGGAGAGGATTTGTGACTCTCATTTTCAGGACCATTACATCATCACTGTTTCAAAAAAAACCCAACACACACACACACACACACACACACACACACACACACACACACACACACACACACACACACATCTCACTGTACAGTCTTTCTGGCAGGCACTGCAGGTGAGTGAGGGGAGGACAGATTAATGTGCCTCTTTGCTGTTTGTGTCTGAATAAAACGTAAAGTTATGTGCATTTGCATTTGGGAGGGGGTGAGGTGGAGGGGAAGGAGGAGGAGGGCAGTCTGTCGGCTGCAGAATTCCATCACTCTTGGCAACCGTTGTTGGGTTACCACGGAAACGCACTGCAATGTTCTCTGCTTCTCTTTTGTACTCCTCCATCACTCCTCTCTCTCTCTCTCTCTCTCTCTCTCTCTCTCTCTCTCTCTCTCTCTCACTCTATCCCATCTTTATTGCTGGTCGGCTTCCTCCTTGTGTTGCTACGGCGATGCTCTGGGACATTCAGTGGGATCATTTTGTCACTGCAGTGTCGGCGCACAGAGCTGGCACTGCGCTCCGAGATCTCTGTGAGACGTGTTTTGTTGTTTTTGTGCTCCCTGTTTTGTCTCCTCCCGAATTCTCGTGACCTTTAACCCCTCCACTTCCCTTACCAATCAGTCCGAAATCAGCGATTTGGACTGGCCGGGCTCGTCAGGTGACATCTCCGAAAGTTGGATGAAGTTTCGCTGAACTGAAGGCTGCGATCAGTGTTGATGTTTTCACGACTCTGTCGGACTGAGAGACGTCCGGACACTTCACAGAGACTGAACTCTGCTCGGTGAGCTCTGCCACAAACCGAGATGAACGAGGACGCGGAGGAGGCGCAGCTGCCTGAGAAGTTGCTGGAGGCTGAGGAGCAGGAGTTGCAGCAACAGGAGGGAGAACATGAGATGGAAGAAGAAGTGAAGGACCAGGAGGGAGAGGGAGAGAAGGAGCAGGAGGAGGTCCATCCGCTGGAGGAAGACCTGGAGGAAGAGAAAGTGCAGCAACAGGATGGAGATACTGAAGATGTGTATGGGCAGGAGGAAGAGCTAGAACAAGAGGAGGTTGCAGCGCATGAGTGGGAAATACAAGAGAAGGTGGAGGAGGTTCTGAAGCAGCAGGAGGACGGGCTGTCTGAGCAAATGCTAAAGCCAGAAGGGGAACAGGGGCATCAAGAGGAGCAGGTACAGGAAGAAGAGCAGGAGAAGGAGGAGGAGGTAGAGATCAAAGAGGTGCAGGAAAGTGAGCTACAGCACCTTGAAAAGGAGGAGGAGGAAGAGACTGAGGAGATGCAACAAGAAAAGGAGGTGCAGCAAAGTGAGGTGTTACAACAAAAGGAGGAGGAGGTAAAGCAGACTGAGGAGCTGCAGCAACAGCAGCAACCTCGAGAGCAGGAGGAGGAGGAGGAGCAGGAGGAGGTGCAGCGTGAGGAGATGTCACGGACTGAGGAAGAGCAGAAGGAGCAACAGCAGTCTGAAGAGGTGCAGGACTTTGGGGACGCTCTGGAGCAGAATCACAACAACCAGGTCCTGATCCGGCTCAGAGGAATGTGAGTAAATACAGATCACGCAGTCAGCTGGCTGATGATGTAATGTCAGTGTGTTGATGCAATAGCACTATCGATAATTGGTGATCACGCTGTGAGGATCCGTGAGCTGCTGTAAGACTGACAGCCTCGGGGACGGCATCAGTGCGGTCGACCGGTTGCCTTGGTGATGCTGGCACGGACCGACGATGGAGGGGAAGACGAATGACAGAAAATGAGCGGGGAACGGTGGGCGTGCAACATCACTTAACACGGGAGAGAGAGTGTGTGTGTGTGTGTGTGTGTGTGTGTGTTTGATGAAGTCACAGCTTCTCGTCTGTCTGTCTGTCTGTCAGATTCTTTCTTAGCGGCTGACTCCTACGCTGCAGCGGAACAGCCTCGCCACATCTGTTTGAATTTGAGGCGATCACACACACACACAAAAAAACAAATCAAAAGCAGTAACAACAACAACAAAAAAGAGCCCAGCGTGGTTTTTTTTTTTTTATTCTCCATTGTTGCCATGGTAACAACTGAGCGTTGCGATGCAGCAAACTCTCAGCAAAGAAAGACACATCAGCAGGGAGATGGATGAAAATAGAGACAGAGATGAAGGCAGGGCATGCGAACACAAAATGTTTGAATGTCCTGTTGATGCTTCAGTCTGTGAATTACAGCCTCATTCATCACACTGCGCTCATCATCACTCACAGATCCTTTCTTTGACAAATCTCACAACACACTTTGAAATGCTCCTAAACTGAGCACTTCAAACCAGTGAATGCCCTGTAGGCATGATGCAATGAATCCTAGTAGTCCAAGTAAGGATTTTAAGTGACTGCTGTTTAAAGTTGCCAAATTGAAATATGTACACTTTTGTTTTAGATGTGTAAATCGTCCATATAACACACAATAAACATTTTTATTATTGTAATATATATATAAAAAAAGCTATGTGTTTAACCACATCTTTGCTATGGCAAGAACTGCAACTCACAACAGGAAGTTGCTGGTTTGAGCCTCCTGTTGAGCTGCGATGAGTTTGTATGTTCTCGCTGTGTGGCTTTTCCTCCTAGAGTATATAGACAAGCACGTTAGGCTAACTGGTGACTGTAAATTGCACCCCTTGGTATGAACATAAGAGTTGGCAGTTATCTGTCAGTCTGTTTTTATGTATTACGACATAAGATAAATTTTCTACTTCTTACTAGATGTTAAAATTAGGTAAATTCAAGCTCAAATGAAACGCAGCACAAAACATGTCACACAGTGTCGCTGCTGTTTTAACAAAAGCCAAAATTCAGTAGCTTTTAAAATTACTCTTCTTTCAGTTCAGTTCAAATTTTATTCGCCACATGCAGTGGTAGGTTGCCCTGCAGTGGAATGAACCCGCCCCCCGACCTTACACACACAACACAGACATCACATGGGGATACAAGTCAGAGAACGGTT